AGCATTGTAGAGTTAGCCCTAGTTAATATGCTGGAATGTACTTCAGAGTAATCCTATTTAGGATTTTAAACAACAAATAACTCTTATTTCGTTTATGACTGTGGTGGAGATCCTGTGCCTTGTTACTCTGCAGCTCAGAGATCCTCTGGGGGAGGCAAGCTTATCTATGCTTACTCTGAAGTAATTCCCACTGCTTTCAATTGAGGCAACTTTTAATTTCCGATAAGAAGCACATTGAATCTCAGACTTGTTTGTTGCGAAGGAATGAGTACAGAATGCATGAACTCCCCCCCCCCCCCGCTTCTCAAGTGAACATTTTTCAGCCTGAGGGGAGGCCCGCTGAAGAAATGAATTCTTAATTCAGGACAAGAAAGTCTTCTGCTACTGTAGTTGGGAATCCTTTATTTAACGGTGAAGTTTAAGAATAGACAGAGGGAAACGATTAAGAAACTCTGGCATGATTACATTTTGCCTCCCCATTCTTCTGATATTAGATTCATCTGGAGTAAAAAGCCAGGACAGGCCGATTTCCTGAAGCCTGGGACAGTTCCACATTTGGACTCTATCTTCCATAATCCCCCCCAGCCAGCACAACCTGAGAATTATGGAAGCTGCAGTCCAAAAAGAAAGAAAGAAAAGTTTTCAAGCGTTGACTTTCAATTTCTAACCACACATCCCCTCATTTTCAGTCCTTCTGTCTCCAAAGGCATTCTGAACTATGCAGAAGAGATTTTTTGCTTGCTCTCCTCAAGCCACATTTTATATTAACAACAAACTCTGGAACCTAACCCCAGGTCCTTGAAAGTTGCAGATTAAAGCCCTCTAAGCTTACATTTTAGCTTCCTCATGTGCATACATTTTCACCTTCCTCCTTTGTTCCCGCACCCCCAAATTAACACTTTGGTTGTAACATTGCTTAGTGAGCACCCCCCTTTGAAGCAGAAGTAAGGTAACAGTTGATATATAAAACAATTATTAAATTAAAAACATTACGCAAAGTGACAAAAAGGCGTCAGGGGTTATCTGATGGGAAGGCCTGCCGAAACAGCCATGTTTTAAATTGATTCTTAAAGATACCATCAGAGTGGTATCATCTGCATATTGGAGGTTGTTGATATTTCTTCCAGCAATCTTAATTCTATTTTGGGATTCCTCCAGTCCAGCCTTTCACATGATGTATTTTGCATATAAGTTAAATAAGCAGGGGAACAATATACAGCCTTGCATTCCTTTCCCAATTTTGCACCAGTCAGTTGTGCCATATCCATTTGCTTCTTGTCCCACATATAGATTTCTCAGGAGATAGATAAGGTGGTCAGGCATTCCCATTTCTTTAATGACTTGCCATGGTTTGCTGTTGTCCACACAGTCAAAGGCTTTTGCGTAATCAGTGAAGCAGAAGTAGATGTTTTTCTGGAACTCTCTGGCTTTCTCCATAATCCAGCACATGTTAGCAATTTGGTCTCGAGTTCCTCGGCCCCTTCGAAATCCAGCTTGTACTTCTGGGAGTTCTTGGTCCACATACTGCTGAAGCTTACCTTGGAGGATTTTGAGCATAACCTTGCTAGCGTGTGAAATGAGTGCAATTGTACAGTAGTTGGAGCATTCTTTGGCACTGCCCGTCTTCGAGATTGGGATGTATCTTTTTGAATCCTCTGGCCCCTGCTGAGTTTTCCAAACTTGTTGGCATATTGAGTGTAGCACCTTAACAGTGTCATCTTTTAAGATTTTTAAATAGCTCCACTGGAATGCCATCAACCTCCAATGGCTTTGTTGTAGCCATGCTTTCTAAGGCCCACTTGAGTTCACTCTCTAGGATGTTTGGCTCAAGGTCAGCAACCACACTATCTGGGTTGTCTGGGACATCCAGATCTTTCTGGTATAATTCCTCTGTGTATTCTTGCCACCTCTTCTTGATGTCTTCTGCTTCTGTTAGGTCCCTACCATTTTTGTCCTTTATCATGTCCATCTTTGGACAAAAGGTTCCTTTAATATCTCCAATTTTCTTGAACAGATCTCTGGTTTTTCCTTTTCTGTGATTTTCCTCTCTTTCTTTGCATTGTTCATTTAAGAAGGCCCTCTTGTCTCTCCTTGCTATTCTTTGGAAGTCTGCATTCCATTTTCTGTAACTTTCCCTATCTCCCTTGCATTTTGTTTCCCTTCTCCTCTCTGCTATTTCTAAGGCCTCGTTGGACAGCCACTTTGCTTTCTTGCCTTTTCTTTGGGATATTTTTTGTTGCTCCCTCCTGTACAATGTTACGAGCCTCTATCCAAAGTTCTTCAGGCACTCTATCCACCAAATCGAATTCCTTAAATCTGTTCACTTCCACTGTGTAATCATAAGGGATTTGGTTTAGATTATACCTGACTAGCTTAGTGGGTTTTCCTACTTTCTTCAGTTAAAGCTTGAGTTTTGCTATAAGAAGGTGATGATCAGAGCCACAATCAGCTCCAGGTCTTGTTTTTGCTGACTGTATAGAGCTGCTCCATCTTTGGCTGTAGAGAACATAATCAATCTGATTTCGGTATTGCCCATCTGGTGATGTCCACATGTAGAGTCGCCTCTTGTGTTGCTGTAACAGAGTGTTTGTGATGACCAGCTTATTCTCTTGACAAAACTCTATTAGCCTTTGTCTTGCTTTGGTTTGAACTCCAAAGCCAACCTTGCCTGTAGTTCCTTTTATATCTTGACTCCCTACTTTAGCATTCCAATCCCCTATAATGAGAAGAACATCTTTCTTTGGTGTCAGTTCTAGAAGGTATTGTAAGTCTTCATAGAATTGGTCAATTTCAGCCTCTTCAGCATTGGTGGTTGGTGCATAAACTTGGATTACTGTGATGTTGAAAAGTCTGCCTTGGATTCGTACACCCAAGTAAAGCATGTCTGCCATTTATTAATGATTCAAGTGGAAGTGTCCATTTTCAGGATCCACTGACAAATCCCTGTGCCATCCCCTGAGACTGCCTGGTGGTTTCATCATCTTCTGTGATCTCTGGAAAATAAAACAGAAGTATTTTAAAAGCCCCTCTCCATTACCTATAGCAGCTCAGGCACATTCCAATATTGGACTGCATCAGAACTGGCAATCCGAGGTTAGGCATTTCCAGTGGAAAAAACACAAGGAGTGATGAATATTGGCCTTTGTAAGAGGCAGTGTTGACTTTTTTTTTACTTCCCCCCCCCCCCTTCCAGGAGATTGACAAAATGGTTGTTGTGAAGTCAGGCAGGGCAAAAAACTTCTAGAGTAAAGTTGGAGAAGGAAACAATGGAGAACGTTGGTATTGGCAACTCCCCCCCCCCTTCCAGGAGATTGACGAAATGGTTGTTGTGAAGTGAGGCAGGGCAAAAAACTTCTAGAGGAAATTTGGAGAAGGAAACAACGGAGAACGTTTTGGCTTAAGAGCAAAACTTGGAAATGTTACTTTTTAAAAAGCTACAACCTCTCGACCCACGCCCACCCCCAGCAGAGCTGAGACACATTACTATTTGACTGCAACTCCCACAATCCCCTTCAGGAGCATTCTGTAAACCCCCTCTAGCAGAAACATCCCCTTCTCTTGGTGCTCCTATTGCCATAATTTCACAGGCACAATGCCTCTGACTATTGGGACTTCATCTGAAGAGTAACTTTTCCTTTTCTCTCTCTCTGAAATGAACTGTGCCTCTTCATGCCTTGACAGTCATCAATTTTAAAGTCATCATTTTGCATATTCTCTGAACATGTCATGTGTGTGTGTGTGTGTGTGTGTGTGTGTGTGTGAGAGAGAGAGAGAGAGAGAGAGAGAGAGGGACTGGCAACTCAAAAATAAATCTTGATATCCTTACAGGGGCTTCTTTTCTATTCAACTGCCTTTAATTTTGCAGCCTGCAGCTTGTTCTTCAGTGACATTTAATATAATGATAATAATGATAATAATGATAATTTTGATAATAATGATAATAATGATATTGATAATGATGATGATGATGATGATGATGATGATGATGATAATAATAAATAAGTAGAAGTACAAGTATAAGTATAAGTATAAGTAGTATTAATATTAGTAGTATTAGTTGTAGTCATCGTAGTAGTAGTATTTTGTGCTGTCGAGTCAATTTTGACTTATGGTGACCCTTTTAAAGGTTTTCCAGGTAGATATTATTAAGAATTTGTTTGCCATTCCTTCTTCTGGGGGCACCCCACGGGCTGGCTCTTCTCCCAGGAGACACACTGGGGAATTAAACTCCCAAGGTCTGGCTCTGCAGCCAGGTACCCAAACCACTGAGCCATCCAGCCTGCCCAGTAAATGGACAGCCTTAATTATTAGTTGAAGTTAATTGTATGAAAACTGAACATTCTTCAGATTATCTTTGAAGTACAAGTCAAAGTAGACTAGAGAGGTGTACTTTGTTCATCTCACAAAAATCCTGGGAGGTTGGGCTAGTCTAGAAAGAAGGTCACCCAAAGAGGAGTGGTCCTGTTGCAGGAATTTCGCCAAGTGCTTTTTCTGAGCACTTGTGGGGGGGGGGCTCTGATAACCCTTGAGTTATAAATTTGGGGTTCCACACTACTACACTCCAGTGGCCATGCTGATGTGGGGATGATGGGGATTGTATTCCAGCACATCTGGAAGTTCTTGGCTTTTGTGAGGGCTGGGTTAGGGCTTTATGAAGGAGCAAATGCCCACCACCATAGTCAGACTGACTTCCGGGTAAATCTGCACATAGGATTGCATTATGAGATGGAATCGCCATTGAATTCAACTGGGTATGGGTTCAACCCAAGGAAAGAACGGGTTGACAGTTGCACTAAGCAGGTGGATGTGTAGGGGGGGGAGGAGCACCTCTACAAATGGACCTTGGAAGAGTCCTATTTTCAACTAGAGTTTCTAGAATGCAGGCTGTGGGATTCTGGACATTTGGAATCCATACAAGGGACTTTCCTAAGTTCTGTCCATACTGTTTTGCAATTCAAGCTGGCTCCTCCCTTTCTCTTCTTTTCTTTTCTCCTTTTTAGGGAAAACAATGAAAACTCGAGCTCCAACGGCCACAATCCACTTTCCTCCTCTTCTCTGAATGGCAACAAGGCAGTTTTGGGCAGCTCTGAAGATGAGAAAACACCTTCAGGGACCCCAGATCATTCGTCATCCAGCCCAGCTTTACTGCTCAATTCGAACCCAGGTTTACAGCCGCTCCACAGCTTGGGCCATCCCCAGGGTCCTAGCGCTATCCCGGTACCAAGCGCAGACCCTCTGCACCATCACAGTTTGCAAGACTCCATCCTCAACTCCATGTCTTCCAACCTAGTTGACTTGGGATCTTAAAAACCACAAACACAGAAACAAAAACAACAACTGCAAATATTCTCTTAACCCAGGGCTCCCACAAAGCTGTCTTCTTGACTTCACAAAGAGATCCCAAGCAACTTCCTACCTATTACACAAACTGTTAGAAGGGTAGCACATTCTTATTGTATGGATCTGGTGTCTCACTTTGGATTGATGGGTTGACCATTGAATTATTGGGAAGGTACTGCAAACTCCAGACTTTTGCCAGTGGTTTTTTTTTTGGGGGGGGGGGGGAAGTCTTAAAAGAGTTTAGCAAAGGTGATCATGAAGAGACTGAGGACTCTTTCTTAAATATTTCTTTTTAAATGGCCAGAGGGGCAGAAGAGAATGGCTCTCCAGTGCAGAGCCAATTTAGGAGGGTGTGTGTAGAGGGGTGGCTAGCAGCCACAAAGTTTGCAATATTTTAGGTACTTGATCTGAGCCACTCTTCCTGGTTGCCAGCTTCTTAACACATCTCTCTAGCTATGCTTCAGCTTAATCCACGAGGTTCGGTGAATAAAGCTCTTTCAGGCACAACAGCTGGAGGAAAGGCCACCTCAAGACATTGGAATAGAGGTGCACATATTTGTGTGGGGTTTTTTTTGGACTACAGCTCCAAAAAGTGGTCTCGAGACCGGGAGAATTCTAGGAATTTTTAGTTGAGAAATGAAAATATGCTTACCCCTACTTAGCAGCAAATGGTGTCTCATCCACCCAAAACAATGTGCATAGTACCCAAAGCCAGCCAAATTAAAAAAAAATAATGATTTGCTGCCCCTTTGTGACATCATAGTACCCAAAGCCAGCCAAATTAAAAAATAATGATTTGCTGGCCCTTTGTGACATTTGAATCTGCTGGTTAAGGCAACTGACTAATGGAAAAGTAGAATTTTAAAGTCAAAAGGTACTGCTAGGATTATCTAGCCCAACTTTCAGTTGGTGCAGGAAATCCACAGCTAAAACATCTCTGGCAGATGGCCATTTGACCTCTGTTTAGAAACCTCTAGGTAAGGAGAACCCTTCCCCCTCCTGAGGGTTCTGTTCCACTGTGGAACAGCTTTTAACACTCAGCTCTGCATAATAATAGGGCTGGCCACAGATAGAAGAGACCAGTGGTCCACCTAGCATCTTTCCATGGCCAAAGTCAACTGGATGCCTTTGAGAAGCCCGGAACACTGGAGTCAGAAGGTTTTTCCTACTGTTGCTGAGTGCCCATTAACTGGTATTCTTTGGTATACTCTCTCTAGCTCTAAGCACTCATTCTGGAAGACCTGAAATGATAGACAAAATTCATGGAATGTAGCTCCTTTCAAAGCCATCTAGGCTAATGGTTCTTACTGGTGGCAGCAAGTTCCACCCATCCATTCAAGCTTTCCCAAACCATCTCCCTCCCATTCAAAGTACCAGACTACAATTCTTATCATCCCCAGGTGGCAGGCAATTTGTTGGTTGGGATGATGGCATTGATAGTGCCACAGCATTGGACAGCATGAGGTTTGGGAAACATTCAGAAAGGTTGCTGTCACAGAGTGTAGTCTGTCAGGGCAAGACCAATAAAAAGAGTCTTAGGATACCTTAAAGACCAAGAAGTTCTAATTAGCATGTGGATTCCGGCAAATCAACCCTGTCATGTTCAGAAGTAAGACAATTTACTTTGTTGGACAACAACTCCCAGAATGCCTCAGTGGTCATGTTTTCTAGTCTGTTCTGGGTGTTGTCCCAAAAATGAACTTTTCCTATCTTTGGTTTTATTTATGACTATGAGTCTTTCATGCCCAGGATTACCTGGAAACAACACCCAGCTGAAATCATAGGGTTACTATCAAAACAGGAAAGCAGGTTTTTTGTTTGTTTTGTTTATCATTGGCTGATTGTAGGACTGCAGTGACAGCCTGAAAAAAAAGGCATGTTTAAACTAAACTAAACCCCATCACACCCCAGAAACAAAAAAGCAAACTAACAAAAAAACTCCCGAGGAAGTTGATTTACTGCAGTAGGAATCCTTTTTAGTTGTTGGTGGCAGGAACAACGGTCTTGCAGTGTGATGCTGAAGCAGCGAGATGCTGTGGAAAGGGAAGCCATACTTCTCATCTTTCAGGCACATTTGGCCAGCTGTCCTGAGTGTAGGTGAGTGCAGACTGTTAAGTCACATGCTGTTAAATCACATGACTTCCACTCCGCCTTATAAACAACTATTGGCATCTTTGCATGCAATCAGTCTTCATTATTATGTTTTGTAGCCAATCCTATGCAAAAGAGAGA